GGTCTCCAAGCTTTTGGAACCAATGGGCTAACTCAGTGTTTCTCACAGGCCATCCCACACCCTCCGCATCACAATTTTAATTGGAAACACTATTTTAATCGGGGCCCCGTGCAATCTTCAGACCAGCTATAGAGCCCTCCCTGTACCCTGGTAGACACAGGTTGGAAACCAGTGACTGGGAGCCCACATAGGTGGTGACAGAATGACTTTCAGGGCACAAGGAAGGGTGTGGGCTGCTTGCTAAACTTACTCTCGGATGTGCCCTGACATTTGCCATCTTTGGGGTCTAGGAAAAGAGACTGCGCGAGAGGCAGACGGAGACCGAGGAGAGTCTGCAGAAGCGGCTGAAGGCGGCTCATGTCGACTTGGAACTTAGTAAGTGCAAGAGCCTCACGGAGACGTGTCCCCCTGCTCGCATCCCCTGCTGCCTTTGCATTGCCTGCAGTATCCTCCATCTGCCCCACTTCCGACCTTGTGTTCCCAGGGCCTGGGAGGATCCTGTGGAGTTTTCCAGGGGGGCCTTTTAGGAATAAGAAACAGACTAACAGCTTTCTTGCTCCTCCAAAGCCTCTGGGGTTTTCGAGCACTATTTTCCACCTCTGGGCATTGTTTCACAACGTGAAGGATTAACCTTTTGGTCCTGGCTCTGTTATGAGGTCAGCTGCAGGGGGTGTTGTGGTCTTGGACTCCTGTCCTGTCTCTTGTTCTACCTCCACCACTCTGACAGAGTCTGTGCTGTGTTGTCTTTCCCTCTGGTTTTGCTCAAACTCCTGTTTGCAAATGGATGTTGCATGGAGTCTCGCTTTCTTGTGGGGAGCATAAGCAGAGTGCCAGGCACTCGATCTACCAGAACATGCAGAAATTCCTGGTAGAGGTTTGGTCGGCTAATGAGGAGGAAAGTAAATGGTCCTAATATGCTCTTCTGGCCTAAATGCCTATGCCCTGCTCAATGCTGTCCTTTCACAGCAACTGATGAAGAGAACTTGGGTTCATGAAAGCTCATGTGCTCTCACTCTCTTGCTCCACATTATATATATATATATATATGCATATGCCTATACATTATTCAGTAAGTCTATAAAAGTTGCATATCTACCCTGCCTTCTGACTAAATGCCTATGAGCTTATGTTATATACAGGTCCTATCATGATGTGCACCTAGGACTAGACGTGACCCAAGTAGAAGGTTTCATGCTCCCCCAGTAAATGACTTGGCAGAGAGCACCCTTAGCATGACCTAAATGAAAATGCAGAAAGTCCCCAAGCCTTAAATTCCCAAAGGAGAAGTCTAAGGAGCTGCCATCCCTTCCACGGGTCCTAATTGTTGTGCTTTGTTTGGGCTCCCTAGGTAAGGAGCCTGGCCTTTTCAACTTGATCATTATTAATGACGACCTAGAAGTAGCCTACTTGACACTGAAGGAGATTCTTGCAGAGGTAAGTAACCTGGCATGAACGGCGCGTGCCCTTGGTGGCTGGGGGGGCACGGCTGCGCCGGCAGCAGCGGGGAGCTCCTGCAGATGCCGCTGGCAGCGTCAGCAGCAGACGGGCGATCAGGGACTGTTGGCGGTGACTTTTTGCAGGGGGTACCCTGCCCCATGTAGGGGGTTCACATGGATCCCCTACACGTTGCCCCTGTCACCTGGGGCACCTCTGCCTGTACAGGCTGCTGTAAATGGAGAACGACTTGGTATGTTTGTCTGCCATTTCCCAGCGCAGTCAAAATGGTGGGTAGCAGTAGGGTCCCCACTTGAGTGAGATATGGAGGCACATGCCCAACACCATGCACTTTTGGCTTTGGTGCTTAAAGTTAAACTGAAGTGCCCTGCTGACTTGTGCATTGGCAGTGGCTTTTCTTCCTGATCTGGGATCATTATCGGCAGAAGTCGACTTGGCTAGGCACCAGGTCCTCTAACATTGCATGGGGCCAAGTGCCCTGATCTCCATCAGGAAGTGATCAGTGACTTTCACGAGCTCAGTCAGGGTACAAGTACCAAGAAACAGAGGAAACTTTGGCCCCTGCACCAGGCAGAAAACATCACCTGGCATTCAGTAATTGGGCTGCTGGCATGTTTGGCTGAGCTGTAACAAATAGCAGAGGGGTCACAGTGCTCCTATAAGAGGATCAGCTACTGTCATCCTCTTTTACAGGCAGGGTAGCTAAGATGTAAAAAGATAAGTGACTTGACCAGAATAATGGGGGGGAGTCGGTGTCACATCTAGGCTGCAAGTGCAAGAATCCCCCATGCTCAGCCTCTTGCCATAGATACACACCCACCCTTTTAAACCTATTTAGAGCTGTTCAGGTATTAGTGGCTTCCTGGAAACGAGCTCGTCTGTTCCCAGCAGCATTCTGGATGCTGCAGTTTCATCCTCTCAGCTGTGAACTGATCTCTGGGCTCCACAGAGAGATCTGCTCTCAGTGTTTTTTGCAGACCCCTTAAAACCAGCCCTAATAATCCAGAGGGTCTGGGATAACACTCTCCAGGCTGTCTGATGAGCAGAGCTGGAGACACATTAGTATAGGTAGTACTGCTACTTGGGAGTATTAGTATAGGTAGTTACTACACATTAGTATAGGTAATACTGCTACTGGGAGAAGCTTAGATGGTAGACTAACCTGGGAGATGAAGATGGAGCAAGGGTGCAGACACATGGCATATTTACTCCAGAATAATAATTTAACTCTGTTGTAAAGAGCAGGGACAACGAGTTCTCCCAAACTGGGTGCCCAAAGCAGGTGCTGTAACAGTGCCTGGTCACTACGTGGCAGAGGAGCCAGTTTTAAGCAAAGGACTACCCCAGAATGGAATTGCATGTGCTCATTACCACTGTCTACTTTGTATCAGAGTAAATTTTTTCAGAGCAAATTTATATTTGACCTCCTCAGAAGTGATGCTAGAGCAGAGAACAGCGTTTCCTCCAGAGTAAATGTGGTGGGTAGGATGCTCATGCCAGTTTTCCTTTGCAGCAAATAGAGATGGCTAGTGAGTGTGCTGTGTGTCCTTACGCTGAGCCCTGAAGGCTGAAACCAGACAGCATCAGACGAGCAGAGGCATGCATTTTTAACACTGAGCGTAACGTGGGCAGTTTTACCGAAGGATGTGTAGGATCACATGAAGCCCTCAAATCAGCACTTCTCAACCTTTTTTAGACTGAAGGCAGCCCTTGGAGAAAGCCAGCTCTTACTTTTTCACTTGTTTTATGAACTCAGGAAAATACTAGGGTAATTATTCTATTGCAAAGAGCTCAGACCACAGCGTATCTGAATGTTTCTGACACTGTGGATTCCTATTTGGCATCTCTGGGTTTGTCATGAGAAACATGTTTGCACATCTGGCAGTGCTAATGTTGCATGGCATCCCACAGCACCCTTGAAAGGATTTCAGGACACCCCAGGGTGCCATGGCACCCTGATTGCAAATCACTGATCTAAATCAAGATGGCATGTATTTCTAAAAGAGGAGCTTTTCTTCAGCTGCACCAGACAGGCTGGACACAAGGGTTGCTAGTGAAATGTAGTGGCCCGTATTTCTCAGCAGGTCCGCCTGTCTTTTTCTGGACTTAAAATCTGTGGATTTAGGAATAATATTAGAGGGCAAGAAATGACCTTTCTACTTCTGTGTATTGTTACAGGAAATCAAGAAGGCCCAAGGACCCAAGAAGTCCTGAGTTCTGTCTGCTTGGACGTTTTAACATTGTCTATCATTCCCCAGATGCTTCACAGCTTTTTATTCCAAGAGAGACATTCCCTTTTGTCCTGATCCCCTTCTGAGCAACAACAGGATGTTAATATTAAAAGGCGACAGAATGGCGCCCAGTCCAAACCAACCTTGCATTTGTGTTAGCCAGGGGGTCCTGGCACTTCCTGGGTGTGTTTCTAAGTTGGTATGAAGAGTCCAGGCAGGCAACTGAGAGCAGTTGTCCTTACTTCCCGACCAAAGGTCCCGTGAGTACCTCTGGGATGCCCGGCTGCTGCTGCCAGTCTCTGCCCGTGTAACCGGAGCGTGTAGTGTACATAGCAGTAAGCAGCATCCTCCCCACCCCAGTACAAAAGGTGGGTATGCTTGTCTCGTGCCACGGTTACCCGTGCCACCTGCTAAGGGGAACTGCTTGTCCCGTTTCCTCCTGCAAAGTGCTCTGTGGGACCAGGTCGCAGGAGGAGGCCGGCCAGTCTAGGAAAGGAATTCAGAGCAAGGATGGAGCAGAGCTGGGATGGTGCCAGGGCTGGGATCCTCCTTGCTTAGCCTTGGGGCTCCCCTTGTCTCTCTCTCCCTTCCTCTCCCCAACCCAGGGGACATCGTCACGGTTCCTTCAGGTGTGTGCGAGACTCACGGTCTCTGCTTCCCACCCTGAGTCTCTGGCTGATCCTGGGGCTGCTGCCTTGCACCTAGTCAGCAGAGCTCAGGCCGGGGAACCCTAGACCTGGCGCCAGGCCGCTCGGAAACATCGCTCCCCGCCCATCCCCGTTCCCAGTCCGCCGCGGACTCCGACCGCTTCCTGGCTCGTGCTAGGTGATCTCAAAGGAGTTCCAGGGGAACGACATCTTCCTCTCCCCTTCTCAGTCCTGAATGCCTCTGGGGTGGAGGCATGAATGCTGCGGGCAGATGTACAGCATTGCATAGTGATGGAGGCAGGTAGGCTCCCAAGTCCCTATATTCGGACCTCTCTGAAGAGTTTCTTTCCAGGCGGTGTAGCCTTTATTCCTGGCAAAACTGTAAAATGTCCCCCTGAGGGTGCAAATAAATTCATTTTTTCCAGTAGGGCTCCGGTCCTGGTCAGTGCCTAGTCCCTGCATCCCAGCCTCCTGCTTGGAGACCTTTGCTGCAACACAGCTCTGAAGAATGGTGTTTTTCTTCGCCGGGTCCGTCTGACACTAACCCTTTCATCCCCAGAATTGAGGCTGGGCCCTCTCCGACCGCTGCACTTGTGTTGAATCATCTGAAAGCTCCCGGTCTCCCTTCGTGTCCTAGAATGGGTGCGGGACCTGTGGTCTATCATGGTCAGTCTGTGATCCAGACTGCTTAGGCCCTTTCCATCCTTAATCTATTAAAAAAACCCAGAGCCCTGTTAGCTCCTGCTGTGTTCCTCCAAGTGCCACCAACATGCACCCCCTCCAAAATGGTTGTGGTGTTTAATGTTCATGTCCTTATGCAAAGTGCGTGAGCTGATAATAACCTTCGAACCAAAGCTTGCTTTCCAAGGCACTGGGGACTAGTTCCAGGCTCTTTGCTTTCAGGCTTTCTCCACCGTGGACTGGGGTTGGAAGGTGTACGCCAGCCCCTGTCCACTGTAACGTTCAGCAGTGAAGCATTAACAATATTATCTGTCCCAGATCTCAGCACGTCCTTAGAGTCGAAAGCTTTAAATACCTGCATCATTAGAGTAATGAGACTGCTTTCCTTTTTATAGTAATGAGACTGCTTTCCTTTTCTCATCATCCGCAATTTTCGGTGGTTCTGAAACGTGTGCCAGCTACTTGCCCTTCAGAGTTGCAGTCTTCCCTGCTCCGATGCCCGTGTCCAGGAGTCCTGGGCTCACTGGCCAAAGAGAGAAGTTCCCAAACCACAACTCCCCTCTCCCACACCAGATAGGAGCCTGCGGCAGCTTTTGAACTTCCCCCTCAATCGCTTGGGAGTCAGGTTGACAACACCCTTCTGTTCCGATGGCTGCGTCTGTACTTTGTCGTTCAGCTGGGTCTGTAGAGGCCCTGGGAGACCTCCTTTCCAAATTACCTTGTGTCAAGTCGATCTGCTCTACGATGAGGGAGTTAGAACAGCCTGTGGTCCCCATCGAAATCATGCCCGTTTCTTGCTGCTTGACCCGCTCGTGAAAAGCTGTGCTGGAACAGAGCAAGTCTTTATTCTTGGTTACTGCAATGGCTCGTGTTGGAGCTGTGCCACACGGCTCCTCCAGGTGGTAACAGAAGCGGGGGAACCCGGTTGCCCTCCTGGTTTGAAACCTTACGGAGTTTGGAGCCAGACCTCTAGTGGTAATCATCCTCTGGAGATGCAGGCAGCCGGATTTGCAGTGGGAGTCTGGCACATTGGTGCCTCTGAGCTGTAAGTCCATTTAACAGCCCAAGTAGGGGTTTGGGTATTTAGAAGACACCTTTAAAAAAAAAAAAAAAAAATCACCCTTGCAGCTCAATCACAGTAAAATCGGCTGTAATGCTCGTTACCTGGATTAGCATTTGTGGCCCCTTTGTTCCTGGGGGTTATTTCCTTGCATGCCTCTCGTAGACTCCCTCTTCTCCTTTCCCTCTTCTCCTTTCCCTCTTCCCTCCCGCTTCTGCTTTCCTACCTGTTGTATTGTAGTCGCACGCTCCACTTCACTCTGCTCTTTGCTGTCCTGTCACAGCATCTCATGAAGTGAACTTGGGTTCACGAAAGCTTGTGCTATACGTGTGCGTACATGTGCATGTATACGTGTGCGTACATGTGATATCTATATATATATATCTTTATATATATATATATAGATCTATATATATCTATATATAATATAGATATAGATCTATATAGAGATAGATCTCTCTCTCTCTCTCTCTCTCTCTCTCTCTCTCTCTAGAGAGAGAGAGAGAGATCTATATATCTCTATCTATATATATATATATGGAGAGAGAGAGATCGATCTAATATATCTATATATATCTAATATATCTATATATATATTAGATGTATCTATAGATCTATAGATAGATTAGATCTAGATCTAGATATATAATATAAAAATCATGTTTTGGTCCTCTATAAAGGTGTGCATATCTACCCTGCCTTCTGACTTTGGTATAAGATAGCTTGAGAAAGAAAGAGAGAGATTTAGTTTGTCCGTAAAGGCATATATCTATCTTGCCTTCTGGCTGACTTCCAGCTCGACAGCTAGCTACCTGTCTCATAATAGTGAGTACACAGCACTAGAGGGCACCAATATCTGTGCAAATCCGTTAGGAAGTTGTGCCCAAACGCAGAAGAGCCGAGCGGTGTATAATGCAAACTAGCGACTCCACAACTCTTGCTACGCTAGTTTGCCATTCGGTGGCCGGTAGTTTATGAAAATACCCAGAGCTGCAAATCTGATTGTTTAGACCTGCCCCTGGGCTCTGGGAGGTTGGTAGCCAAAGGGACTTACAAGCTTTAAAGCCTTAGGATATCCTTATGAGAGAGAGAACCTCATACAGAGCGATGTCTTTGTCTGGGCTGAGATGCAGACGTGCCTGGAGAGGAGGCAGCAGGTGTCCAGTGCTGTAGCAGCCTTGGACAGACGGGGAGGAAAGAACCTGATCCACTTGTCAGCCTGTCCTTACAAAAAGCACGAAGGGATCTTGAAGGCGGTGTCTTTGCACTTGCTGGATGAGGCTGCTAAAGAAATAAGCCCTGCTCTCTCGTGGCCATTCCCAAGTCTGCAGCTGTGGTGTGTTAATGTCTTGGTGCCCTCCTGGCTCGGGAGAGCCTGAGCGCTGTGCCAGGATGTGGGTTCAGGGCTGCACCAAGCTGTGTGCACCCAAACGGATGAGCCTAGGCATACATGGGAAGGCTTTTTTTTTCAAGCACCTGAGATCATGGTGTAAACTTCCCCAAAATGACCTCAACTGAATAAGACTTGTAGGTTCTCCTGGCATGGTGGACTAAAGCATGAGAGCACCCTGCTCGCTGCCACTTCTCCCACACCGGCTGCTACAGGTTCACCAGTGTGTAAAACCAAATAGAAACCAAGTTACCTCTCTGTTCACTATCTGTTGGTGGGTCCAACTGAAGGGCATAAACCCCAGGGACCACAAATGCAAAGCCGTCCTCGAAAGGTACGCCTTTAGACATGCGTTACTCATCGGACCATCCAACCACAGGCTAACACGTGGTTACACCCAGCTAGATATTAGCCCTTATGTAGCAATGGGTTAACATTTCAATCGGTTTTCAGCATCCTTTGACCATCCTATCACTTCCAAGTTGCTCAGTAAGCTCCACCTCGATTGCAGAGGTACTGAAGACAGGTTATTTACAACCCTTGGAAGCGTTGATGCCTCCCGGGATGTTTTCCACAATCGTACCGTGGGTCTGACCATTGAGCTAAGCCTGGGGAGCTTTCCCACCATGCTCTGATGGCCAGCGCCTGTTGAGACGAACCATGCAGCGTTGCATCGTTCACCAGAGCAAGGAGGATATGGGCGCTGTGGGCAGAAAAGAGGATTTAACACCACGGGATTTTTTATCTTGGTCTACCTTGCAAGCTTTTCATTAAAGCAGAGCATGCTCTTTCACTCCCCTTAAAGCAGCAGCTGGCAGTCGCTATCCAGCTGCACTGTTGGGACTTGGAGGGGATGCAGGATGGAAAGCACCGCAGCCTTGAAGGTGCTTTGTGCCTTTGCAGGAGGTGGGGAAGTCATGGCTAGTTAGGACTGACGCTTGGCTTGCAGGCTGCCCCTGGCCTGTCCCGTTCAGTTTTGAAGCCTAGAGATCTCAAATCTAAAATCTCATTTAAAAAAAAGAAATAATAACCTTCCAAGCACAAACCAGGGTAGTCTCTCAATGCATCTGCAACCCAACTAAAGCCCGAGGGGAGCAGGTCGGGGGTGTCTGTGTTCACCCGCAGTCCTTTTAGCACAGTGCTTCCCAAACTTTTCCTGAGCATGACGCCATCTATGATCTCTGTGACCCAGGGGGCAGGACCGGGTGGGGAGGTTCGGTGCTGCTGTCGGGAGCCCCACGCTGCCACGGTGAGACACCCCCTGCCCACCAGCATGCAGCAGCGGTGATGCAGAGTTGTGTCCTGGCCAGGCAGGGGACACCTCACCGTGGTGGCTTGGGGATCCCGGCAATGGCACCAAGCCTCCCCGCCCCAGTGCCACAGCGGTCCCAGTGGGAGGGCAGCAGGGCAGGGAGCCCCGAGCCTGCAGCAGCCCCAGGGTGTCTGCAGTGCTGCTTAAGGGTGGCAGGGATGAGCTGAGCAAGGCGGGCGGTCCAAGGCGAAGCGTGTTATTTTATGGGTCTATCTGGCTCTCCTCTAGGGATCTTAGAGCTAGGGCCCCATAGAGGACAGCTGTGAAGCAGTGGTTCGTGATGCTCAGCAGATGACGGGAGCGTTGTGTGCCCTGGGCTGGCTTGGGGGTGACAAATACTGCCTGCCCGGGAAGCACGGGCTTCTGGGGGAACGACCACCTCCCCAGCACATGGTCCGGGAAGCGAGTCGCCGAATTATGCTGCAACCTTGGTTCACTGGGGACTTCCCGATTCGCTGCCGAGAAGAAAGCATCCTGCAGGGAGTAGCTGCGGAGGAGAGCTGGGCCGGCAGAGCAGAGGTAAGCTTTCCACAGAGGAGAAGTCCAGCCACGGTGGAGGGCATGCGACCCACGGTTGGTGCCGGAGCAGAGGCCGCGGGAAGGGCACGTGGGTGGGCACCGTCGGATTAGAAAAGGGAAGCCAAAAAATGACTGGAAAAGGATGTTTCTGCTTCTCCCTCTGGATTGATGAGGTTTCTCTGCATGTTTCCCGTGCTGTGAAAGCCATGCTTCAAGGCTCACCTAAGCCTTGTTTGAGACTCTGGGCTGGGGCAGAATGAAATAAACTTTAGGAGGAAAATATGCTGAAAGCTGCTATGAAAAACCCCAACCAGAAGACCACGGTGTGCGCTTGCCTTAGATGTTTGCATGACTGCGAGTTGTACTTGGAAACAAAACCAAGCCAAAGCTTGAGGGCTTTCTGTAGGGTTTTGCTCCATGCCCACCTGGTCTTGACTCAGACAAACCCAGTGAACCTTATACCTC